CGATCCCGGCTCCGCGACGCTCGGCTTCCCCTCGGCAAAGCTCCGATTTGCGGCGTCCCCGCGGAGGGGGCTCGTGCCTTCACGCACAACCCCCCCCAACTCTCTGTGTCCTCTTCTCCCAACCCAGATCTGCGTCAGCAAATGCCCGGACCGGTACCTGACGTACCTGGGTGCTTACAGCTCCCGCGCGCCCGGTGAGCTGGAGTATTACCGGCAGTTCTGCGTCCCCGAGTTCAAAAACCCACAGAAGGTGGGTTGTGGGGAGCGTGGCGGCATTTCCCCGGGGCTTAATTCCTGCCCAAAGTGTTCACATCCAGCTCTGTCTCCATCCAGGCTCCCATCGAGGTGCTGAAGGACAAGGAGTGCCCAGCCATGATCATCCCCAGCACCCCACGTAGGTCCTGGGGGGGACTAACGAGCTGTGATGAGCTGAGTAACGAGCCTGTTCGCTTTGCAAGCTGCCTGTTGGGTTTTTTTGGGGGGTCGGAGGCTCCTGTTGGGGTTTCTGGGGATCCCGGTGTAGGTTTGTGAGCACGGGGAGGGGGTTTGGCTCGTTGCCCCCGAGGTGGCTGCGGTTGCCGGCACTGAGTCTCCCTCTCCTCTCACGCAGTGGCGCGGCGATGCTTCCCGGCCATCCGGGCCAAGAAGGGCGTCATCATGGTCGGCAACGAGACCACCTACGACGACGGCCGCGGGCGCCGGAGGAACGTCACCGAGCTGCTGGAAGGGGCCAAGTGAGTCCCCGCCACCTTCGGTTCACCGGGAGCTTAGTCTTTGCCGGGGCGGTGCCCGGAGCGAGCGCTTGCGGTGATAACGGCAGCGTGGTGGGGCCGCCGCTGGCCCCGGGGGAGCCTCTTAACGAGCTGCTTCGTCATTATGGCTTCACCCAGAAGAGAAACGAAAGGTTTTATCTGCCGGCACTTCTGCACCGCGTTCCTTTACGGATTTATATCACGGAAGAGCCTCAAAAGCCCCGGCGCAGAGCCCTGCTCCTGCGTTCACAAGAAATCCTGCGCCAAACCCCGCATCCCGTGGTTGAAAGGGGTCGGCAGCGGGGTCAGCCTGAAGGGGAAGGGTGCCAGGAAATCGGCTGCTGTCTTGTGGGATTGTCTTTGTTTTCTGGGAGGCTGGCAGAGGGGGCGACCGGCGGGGGAGGACAAGGGGCCATTGAGGCAGCGTGGGGACAGGCAGCGGGCGCGGGCACAAGCCTCGCTGGGGCTGAGCCCAGGCCTGATGCTCCTCCACTTCATTTGGGTTTTATTTTTGTGTTCCAGAAAAGCAAACGTGGTTCTGGAAACCAGGCAACTGGCCATGAAGATCTTTGAAGATTACACGGTTTCCTGGTACTGGATAATAATGTGAGCAGGGGCTGAGCTCCGCGTTACGGCTGGCCCTGGGCTTGGTGCCATGCTCAAACGTGAGGCAGAGCTCAGGAATTCCCAATTTTTTATTATCTTTTTTTTGTTTTTTTCCCCACCCTGACCTTTGCATCCTTTCCATTCAAAACGAGAGATGGCGGAGGGTGTTCTGGAGCCTCTTTACTCAGATCGTGCTCATGCTCCATCCTTGCCACCGCCAATAATTCCCATTTTTAAGGCCGCCCCGTTATTAAAGCTTGAGAAAGGCGAGAGGACGAGCCGACCAGCGGAGGGGAGTGCTGGGGAGGGGGTGGCGGTGCCTGGTTTTTGACACGTTGCTGCCTTCCTCCCGCAGAGGCCTCGTTATCGCCATGGTGGCCAGCCTCATCTTCATCGTTCTGCTCCGCTTCCTGGCCGGGATCATGGTCTGGGTGATGATCGTGATGGTGATTCTGGTGCTGGGCTACGGTGAGCGAGTGGTCAGGAGCTTCTCCTCGGCTTTCCCCATTTTCCTTTCCCTGTTTTAAGTGGGATTTGCATGAAGAAAATCCATATGCAACGTCCTTCCAGGTGTCTTCTACCCAAACATCAGCGTCGGTGGGGTTGAGCAGAGCCTGCTGGCATCTCAGTCTCCGTTTTTCAGCGCAAATGTGACAGTTTTCTGCTTTTCATCCCAGGAATCTTCCACTGCTACCTGGAATATGCAAAACTAAAAGGAGAAGCGGGTTCTGACGTCTCCCTGAAGGACCTGGGATTCCAGACTGACCTACGTGTCTACCTCCACCTGCGGCAGACGTGGCTGGCGTTCAGTAAGTCTCCGTCCTCCTCTGGATGCAGGATAGGACCCAGTGGATGCGCCCCAGCCCCACTCCCTTGAAGGGAAAAACACGGATCTTTGGGGTCTTCTCAGTCTCTTGGTGGCCCTCAGAGCTCGGAGGCTCCTGTTGGGGGTTTCTGGGGATCCCGGTGTAGGTTTGTGACCACCGGGGATGGTGGGGAGAGGGTTTGGCTCATTGCCACGTGGTGGCTGTGGTTGGTGATGCTGAGTCTCCTCCTTTGCTTTGCTTGTTGCCACCTTGCCACGGGCCTGGGCTTACGGCCGGGATGACCAGCCACGGGGAGGGTGCTAGGTGCTGCTCTCCCATGGGCCCTGAGGAGCGTTCGGTGCCCGGAGGGATTTGCCCAGGAAGGCAAAAGTGGTCACCGGGCACCACCCGTGTCCTCGTGCTTACCCGGGGACTCCCCTTCTCGTCGCAGTGATCATCCTGTGCATCGTGGAGGTGGTGATCATCCTGCTCCTCATCTTCCTCCGCAAGAGGATCCTCATCGCCATTGCGCTCATCAAGGAGGCCAGCAGGTCCGTGTGGCCCCAGGCAGGGGTGGTCGTTGTCGCCCGTCCCGGTGGGAGGACACGGGGCCGGTCGGGCTCCGGCCGCTCGGGTCCTCTGGTCGCTGCCAGGATTTTAACCGGCTTCCAACCCTCTCGGCAGGGCTATTGGCCACATCATGATGTCACTGCTCTTCCCCTTGTGCACCTTCTTCCTGCTCTGCCTCTGCATCGCCTACTGGGCCAGCACTGCTGTGTATCCTTTCCTCTTCCCCTTCCCCTTCCTCTTCCCTGCGCCTCTGCGCCCTGTGAAGGAAGCTGCTCGGAAATCAGAGGTTTTCCAGGGCGCTGAACGCCTCACAGGATTAGGGACACATCCGCTGGCAAAACTGCCAGCTTGAGTCTCTTAACTTAAACGTAATGTTGAAAAATGAAATCCAGGAGGCTGGTGAGGGCCAAACCGTGTTAGGAGTCGGGTTTGGGGGTTGCAGAACGGCATCTCCTTAACGCTGCGCCACAGTTTCCTCTCCACCTCCAACGAGGCGATCTACAAGGTGTTCAACGAGACCGCGTGCCAGTTTTCTGGGCAGACCTGCAAACCAGAGGTGAGGATGTTGGGAAACTTGTACAAAAGCTGTGCTTAATCTGTCAGAGATAAGATTGTTTATGACATGAAAAACATTCCGGTGGCTGTTGGAGCCTGCAAGCTCTTCCCCGTGAAATTCCACCTCTCCCGAACTTGTTTACGTCACATTAGTTTTTCTTCAAGCCGTTGCGCGCGCAAAGCTGCCTGAGCAAATGCTGCCAAAAAATTAAGCAGGAAAACGTCTTCTGAAAGTTGAGATTGCTTTGGGTTGACCGAAAGACGCTGTCGGTCCATCCCGTGGCTGCCGCGTGAGCATCTGCTGTCCTCTCCAGACCTTCAACACGAGCAATGTCACCAAGCTGTGCCCCGACGCCCAGTGCCTCTTCGCGTTCTACGGGGGCGAGACGGCGTACCACAAGTACCTCATCGTCCTCCAGTTCTTCAACGTCTTCATGTTCTTCTGGCTTGCCAACTTCGTGATTGCGCTGGGCCAGGTGACGCTGGCGGGGGCCTTCGCTTCGTACTACTGGGCCTTCAAGAAACCCGACGACATGCCCGCCTTCCCCCTGTTCTCCGCCTTTGGCCGCGCGCTCCGGTACGGCCCTCTCGAGGGGGACTCGTGAGCTCCTTGAGGTTGTCCCCTTCTAAGCAGAGTGATTTTTTCCCAGGTACCACACCGGCTCGCTCGCCTTCGGCTCCCTGATCCTGGCCATCGTCCAAGTCATCAGGGTCACTCTGGAGTACCTAGACCACAGGTTAAAAGGTAACGAGGCTGGAATGGTAAATGAGTAGACGAGCAGGGTTGGCGGCTTCTGTGTTCCTTTGTGCCAGCGCTCCTGGATAACACCCAGGGGAATAATCTCAGCGTTTCGGTAGAGAATTGAGATTTTTCCTTTTAGAATCCTGTAGTTGTTTGTTCCTCCAGGAGAGGTTTCACAGGGTGGGGGCCCAGGGATGCCCCACGGCTGCCGGGCTCAGTCACCCAGTGCCGGGTGCCTGTGCGGGCACCAGGGCCGGCTGCTTCTGCCCATAGGGACTCTATCGATCGTGAGATGTAAACAGCGAGCCGAGGCGTGGGAAGAGTGTGTGAGGCTCATCCCGCCGCTGGCAGCCGTATCGGCCTCCCGGGAGGCTGAAAACAGCCCGTGGGGGGGGAGGCTGTGACGGGGCAGCGGGACGTCTCATTGGGGACCTTGAACTTGCTTCTCTATGAGCAGGCGTGTCTCTCTTTGGCTGCTCACCCTCTCCCCTGGCCTCCCTCCAGCTGCAGATAATAAGTTTGCCAAGTTCCTCCTGAGCTGCCTGAAGTGCTGCTTCTGGTGCCTGGAAAAATTCATCAAATTCCTCAACAGAAACGCGTACATCATGGTGAGCGTCTCCCGGTGCTAACGCCCGACCGCAGCGGCGGCGGGGGGGCTCAGTGCTCTTGGAGATTTCTTTGGGGGGTTGGCGAGAACCGTGTCTCCCCGCGTCGGGGGAAAACGAAGCTTTTCAGCCTTTCCCAGCCGTTTTGCTGGAAGGCCTTGACCTCAGCCATGTCACTCGGGTTATAGGAGGGACCTTCAGACACACCGCAGCGGGGGCGTTTCAGCTCCTGGTGTCTGCCTGACCCATCAGTGGCTGAAGAAGTGCTCCCAGGCGGGAATTATCTGAGTTTTACTCAATGATGGGATTAACTGCACCGTCCTCTGAGCGGTGAATTCAGCACGGCTCCGTTTTTCTCTCCTCTACCCCTTTTTCTTTTTTTCCGGGACCCCCTCTAGATAGCCATCTACGGCACCAACTTCTGCACCTCGGCCAGGAACGCGTTCTTCCTGCTGATGAGGAACATCATCAGGTGAGGCGCTGGCGGGCGCGCGGGCTCTGCTCTCCGCAGCACACTTGGTTATTTCCAAGTCCTCCTTTTCAGGCTTTCACGGGGGTTTATGCCACGTTTGCACCACGTGGGCGCGTGGGCCGCTTCCTCCCGTGCTTACGAGTTCAGCGTGAGGAGCGGATGCAGGTGGTGATGTCTGTCTCTCTCTCTCTCTCTCTCTCCCTCATCTCCAGGGTGGCTGTTTTAGATAAAGTCACAGATTTCCTGTTCTTCCTCGGTAAACTCCTCATCGTGGGGAGTGTCGGTAAGTGTCGAGGACTGGGCTTCTCCTCGGGGCATACGGCTGCTCTAAGCTCTTGCATCTGGTTACTCCTTCCCCAAACCTTCGCTCTCTTCCCCCTGCCCGTGAAACCGTTCCTTTCCATCCTGTTTTACATCTCCTCTCCCTGCACCCATTTGCTGCCTTTCTTCTGTGGGCCACAACACCCCCCTGCGTGGCTACAGGCTCGGGGAGGGGTGGCTGGAGCTGTCTGGGAGAGAAGTATCTGGGCGTTTTCACTGACAAGCAGCTGACCATGAGCTGGCAGCGTGCCCGGGTGGCCAAGAAAGCCAAGGGCACCCTGGCTTGTATCAGCAGTAGTGTGGCCAGCAGGAGCGGGGAGGTGACAGTCCCCTGTGCTCGGCACTGGTGAGGCCACACCTGGAGGGTTGGGTCCAGGTTTGGGCTCCTCAACCCGAGAGAGATCTGGAGGGGCTGGAGCGAGGGCAGAGGAGGGCACCGAGGCTGGGGAAGGGCTGGAGAATAAATCCTGTGAGGAGCCAGGGAAGGAGCTGGGAGTGTTCAGGGTGAGGAGGAGGAGGCTGAGGGGAGCCCTCATCCCTCTCTGCAGCTCCTGACAGGACATTGCAGAGAGGCGGGGGCTGGGCTCTGCCCCCAGGGGTCAGGGACAGGACGAGAGGGAACGGCTGGAAACTGCCCCAGGGGAGGGTCAGGCTGGGCAGGAGGAGAAAATGTTTCCCAGACAGAGTGGTCAGAGTGGGACAGGCTGCCCAGGGAGGGGGGAGTCCCCATCCCTGGGGGGTTTCAGGGCCGTTGGGATGAGCTGTGGGGGATGTGGGGTAGGGGAGAACTTTGTAGAGTCGGGCTGAGGGTTGGACTCGGTGACCCCGAGGGGCTTTTCCATCCTGAATGATTCTGGGGTTCTGTGATTCCACCCGGCATCCTACAGTGATCTCCATCATCTGCTTTTCCAGGAATCCTTGCCTTCTTTTTCTTCACCCAGCGGATCAAGCTGGTCCAAGACACTGCACCACCCCTGAACTACTACTGGGTCCCTATTCTGGTGAGCCACTCTCACATCTTTTGGTGAATTTAGAAGCAGTGGAAAGAGATTCTTAACACGAATGCCTTAAAACCACTCCTCTGCTCGCTGCTTCTGAAGGACCTTCTTTGTTGAAGGTGTTTTCTCCGTCCCCATCGAAATGAGCCCTTTGTTTCAGCCAGGCGGGAAGAGGCGTCTCGCCCTTCCCGTGCTGCCCACGTTGGCCTCTGTCCACCATCGTCGCTGAGGCCTTTTGTCCTGGTCTGAACAGTCCTGCCCTGTTTGCTTCTCCTCCTCTTTCCCTGGGGCATTCGGGATTCCGGAGGTTTCCGCCTCCCGGCCGAGGGATGGAGGCTTGGCGCTCTTTGCGAGATGCCGGGTGGCGGCGTGACCTCACGGTTTCTCTTTCAGACGGTGATCGTGGGCTCCTACCTCATCGCCCACGGGTTCTTCAGCGTCTACGGCATGTGCGTGGACACTCTCTTCCTCTGCTTCTGTAAGTATCTGCCTCGGACGGTCCGTCTCCTGCTGGGCAGGAGCTTGTGGTAGCAAAGTCTCCCTCCCTTTGAGGCTGAGCCCCAGAGTTGTCCAGATTTGGACAACTCCAAATTCCCGCAGCCTCTCTGTGTAGTTTTCTCCCACTTTTTCCTTTACCAGCTCCCGCCTGCGTTCTCACCTGCTTTCCCCTGCCTGCCACCAGCAGAACCCCACAGCCTGTCCGTGGGCCTCCTGTGGTCTCTCCTGGTCTCTCTGGTTTTGGTGCTTTGGTCTTGGTGGAGCCTAACTGCAACTAACTGCAATTTTCCCTTTTTTCTTTTTTTTTTTTTCTCATTTTGTTCCCCTCTCGTATCTCTCTTCCCATGTTCTCCATCCTTCACCTCTGCCCTGCCTCTTCCCGGCTCTTCTGCTACTTTCCACTCTTCCCCATCACGGCCGCTTCTTCCCGGGGTTGCGAAAAGGTGAAGATCTGGAGAGGAACGATGGATCTCCCGAGAGGCCTTACTACATGTCCCCCGAGCTGAGTGAGATCCTGCTGAAGGGGAACCTAGAGCCTTCCAAAAGCACCGATAGCCAAGGCTAGGGCTGGCCCTGGGAGGAAGGCTGCGTGCCCGCCCAGGGGGGCCGCAGGGCGCTCTCAGCCCCCCAACCCAAGCAGCGTTCTCCTAAGCCCACGGCTGGCAGCCAAATCTTCCCCTTGGATGGTCCTCCAAAGCCTCGAGGGTAGAGGGGGTGCCTGTTCCTCAGTGCCCGACACTGTATCCAATCTACCTTCCCGCCCAATAATGAATATCCTTGTATCAAGAGAAAGAACCCAGCGTGTCACCTAGAATTAATCTGGGGTCCCACGTGTCCCGGCAGCGCCCGGAGCCGAGGGGCTGGGAACTGCCTGGACACGGCGCGGGTGCCGCGAGGTCCTTGTGTTGTCGCGTCGAAGCGGGGCTCTTTGTTCCCAGCCACCAGCTGCGAGGAGGAGGAGGAGGACGGGAGAGCCGCTGCTCTGCTGGCGGGAGGCGGCTGCTGCGGCGGGACGGTGGTTTGTGGGACGGGCTGAGTGGGTTTGACAGCCTGAAAACTGGTCTCTCCCCTCTTCCCTCTTTGTTCTGCCCCCAGCAAAGAGCAGCTTTCCTCGCCCACTCTCTATGCAAAACCAGGTTGGCGCCCTTAAACAGATTTCTTGGTGAGATTGCAGATCTTTTGCTTTTAAGTCTGTTGCATCAGCAGGGCTTTTGTCACCAAACAGAGCTCGCCCTTTGCGTAGCCAAAAACTCCCGTTGCCTCGCGCCGTCGGTGTAGGGAAGCCGCAAAGGGCTGTTGCCGGTTGGAAGCCGTTAAAACTCCAAGGGGTTTTACTCGCAGAATCCCGCGTTCAAAATGGTTTCTCTTGCTGGTTGCGCAGAGGTTTAACAGCTGCAGGGAGGTGGCGGCTCCTCCTGGGAGCTGCCTGTTGCGTTCTGCTTCTCCCCGCTCCTCGAGGTGGTTGAGTTGATGGTTTGGCTTCAGCCTGGTCCGGGCTCCTATGGGGTGGAGGAGCTGGAGGGCTGTAACGATTTCCATGCTGACGCAGAGCGTAGGTGGAGACGCTTGCCAAGGGCCGGCAGACCTGCGGGCTGGGCTGGCTGCGGGGAGGAGGACGGAGCCTGGGTGGAAGGTGAATCCCTGAGCTGGCTCAGGTGACTCGGAATTGTCGCGGGTTTGTCAAGGGAAGGCGGTGGCCGGAGGAGTGGCGTGAGTATCCCCAAAGGGCCGGAAGGCTCCGGGGAAATAGCACAAGGTGCAGGCGGGTGTCACACCGGGGACGTATCGCAGCATCTCTGTGGCCGGAGAAATCAGACCCAAAAATGCTGAGTTTGACTGGGAGGCAGCTGCTGAGGGTTACAGCCCTGAAAGGAATGGCAGCCAAAAGTAGGCTGGCTCCTCGCCTTATTTTCTCCTCTTGATAGTCCAGAAATGATCAAAATTTAAAAAAAAAAAAAACAAACGCCATTCTGGTGGCACGCAGCCCGGGTAGCGGCAGCCAGATCTCCTATTACAAATCCTCCCGCAGACAGAGCGCCTCGTCTTTTGAGTCGTGGCCTCTTAGGACAAAGCCGTAGTGTTAATGCTCATGTTTTCATCACAGAAATACCGAAATCCCTCTAAAAATACCCCGGGGCGCTTTCACTCTTCTCTCAGGCTGGTGCTTTGTGGGGTTTGTTTGGTTTTGGGGTGTTTTTTTTGCGTGGCGTGTTTGGTTTTTTTTTTGGGTGGCTATGATTTTTTTTTTATTTTTTTTTTTCTTCCCCTACCTTTTTTTTTTTCTTCCCCTACCACTTCTTGTTGGCGCAGCTGCTTTGCTTTGAACGGCGAGAGAGGCCGAGCGGCGTGTTCGGGGCTGGGAATACACCTAGCGATTATGTATGTGCGGCGCGTCGACAAGGGCGTCGCGCTCCCGGTGGAGCAGCAGTGCCAAGCGAATACCGAGCGAAATTGCTCCGCGCTGGCGTCACCGGCCGTTTCAGGCGCACAAAGAGCAGGGAGCTCCCCGGGGAGGAGGGCGACCGCCCCCCCGGCCGGCACGGCTCGAGCAGCGTGCTGAGAAAACCTCATTTCCTACGGTGCTGTTAAAACTTTCCTGCTGCCACCCTGAAAAAAAAAACAACAAACCCAAACCACAACAAAACCAAACACCCAGACCTCTGCGTTGCTCTAAATAATCGCAGCCTGGTTCCAGAGTGTGGGGCTCCCTGTAAAATGGGAGAGGTGCGACTGAGGGCATTTAGCTGGGACGCAGGGTGAAAAAAAACCCGAAAGACACTTTTTTTTTTTTTTCTCAAAAATAATAATTAGGCGAGCGGGGCTGCTCCTTGGGCACCTCTCTGCCTTCGGGCCTCTTGCTGCATCCTCCCTGGCTCCTGCCACGCCAACTTCTGTGTCTGACACCCCCCCCCACTGCTGCGCGGGGCGGGGGGGGTGTTTCTCTTTGCAGTGGAAGATCTGGAGCGCAACGACGGTTCGGCCGAAAAGCCTTATTTTATGTCGCCCGACCTGAAAAAGCTCCTGAAGAAGACGAACAAAGGTCAGCCAGACGCCTAGAACCTGCCCTCGTCCTTCCCGCGCCGCCTCTTCCCGGTCCCGCTCCGGGAGCGGAGCTGCAGGATAACCCCCAGCGAGTGGAAATCGCGTTAAGGAACCTTGAGCCGCTGTCTCCTTTACCCCCCGCAGCGGGTGAGCAGCAGAAAGGGGGTTTGCTAACGAGAGGAACGGGTTATTGTTAATGATTCAACCTGAAATCCTCGGGGTTGCTAAACGAAGAGCGCTCCGGCCCGTCTGAGCTCGCAGCCAACGTCCCGCCGCTCCCCGGCCACCTCAAATTTGGCAATTCCTGGCCAAATCCTGCCAGGGCGGGCGCTGAGAAAAGCAGCGGGGAAGTATCTCTGACGCAGGGCAAAGTTCTGTCTTCCAGGGTGTCAACTGACACCAAAATGAGCTTAATTGGATTTAGCGGTTCGATTTTATCCCGGTAAAAATGATGGCAAATGAGCGGGTGGGTTCAAGCAGCTCCTCAACTTGGTTTTTATTTGCAGCCCCCCGCCCCAAATATTTCATTGCAGTTGTTGATTCTCACCCAGAGAGCTGAAATCACCTTGCTGCCCTTTGGAGACGCCTTAGGGCCCTGCTTGGGGGTTGTGCTGAGCATTAATCAGACAATTAATTCTTTTAGGAATGTGCCAGTTAGTGTTCTTGTAGCTGCCTGCGAAGGGTGATGGTGGAGGGAAACGGGGGGCTAACAAGCGGGACTTGGGCCTTGGGGTGTCACGCTGCTGTCTCTT